CCTCTGACATCCATTTTGACCTTTTCCTTCTTTCTTGTCTTCTTAATGACTTTTTGCTCTCTTCATGTATGATGTTCTTGATGTCATCCCACAACCCTTATGGTCTTTGGTCTTTACTGTTTAATGCAACAAATCTGTTCTTCAGATGGGCTCTAAATTCAGGTGGGACAAATTCAAGGTCATATATATAGTCTCTTTGATTTCTGTGTATTCCGTCTGGTGAAATCCCTGTGTATAGTCATCTTTTCTGTTGTTTTTAAAAGGTATTTGCAATGAAATCATTGGTCTTGCAAAATTCTATTATGCAATCTCCAGCTTCATTTCTATCACCAAGGCTATACTTCCCAACTATTGATCCTTCCACTTTGTTTCCAACGTTTATATTCCAATTGCCAGTAATTATCAGTACATCTTGACTGCATTTTTTATCAATTTCAGACTGAAGAAGTTGGTAGAATTCTTCAATTTCATCATCACTAGCTTTAGTGGTTGGTGTGTAAATTTGAATAACAATGGTTTTAACTGGTCTTCCTTGTAGGCATATGGATATTATCCTATCACAGACAGTGTTAACTTCAAAATAGATATTGATATGTTCTTTTTGATGATGAATACAATGCCATTCTTCCTCAATCTTTCAATCCCAGCATAGCAAACCATGTGACTGTCAGATTCAAACTGACCGATGCCAGTCCTTTTCAGTTCACTAATGCCTAAAATATCAGTTTATGCGTTCCATTTTATTTTTTACAATTTCCAATTTTCCTAGGTTCATACCTCATACATTACATGTTCTGATCATTAATGGAGTTCTACAGCTATTTCTCTTCATTTTGAATTGTGCCCCATCAGCAAATGAAGGTTCCAAAGGCTTTGTGCATTATCACAGTAACTCTACTTTGAGGAGGCAGGTCACATTTTGATTGCCTTCCAACCTGAGGGGCTCATCTTCCAGCACTATATCTGATAATATTCTGGTGCTCTACATCATGTTTCAATATTTGATATTCTGGTGCTAACAGTGTTCCACTGCTATTCATAAGGTTTTCAGTGACTAAGTATTCAGAAGTAGTCCATCTCTCCTTCTTCCTAGTCTGTCTTTGTCTGAAAACTCAGCTTAAACCTGTCCACCATGGGTGACCTGGCTGGTATTTAAAATACCTGCCAGAGCTTCCAGCATCATAGCAACACACAACCCACCACGGTATGGCAAACTGACAGGCAAATTGTAGCAATTAAATAATGTGCAACAATAAATAAGAATGAGGTGCCCATAAATATCTAATAATATGATTAAATCCAGAAGACATCAAGTTAAATGAAATAAGTCAATCACAAAAAGGTAAATATTGTGGCCCTATGATTATAAGAAATTAGGAATATGTATGTACATATTGTTGCTGTTCTAAGGGACACAATTTTGAAGAATTCCTAGACATATCCTTAAAACTACTGGAATAGGTTTACTGGATTGAATGGCTTAGGACCATCGTGTCATTAGTAAGCTTCATCAAATGGTATAACATAGTTCATAATATGTTCTACTCTTTAGTTTGGTGGGTAGTATCTGGGATCCTAAAGTTAGTGGGAAGACATCTAAAATACAATCTCTATTCAGCTGGTGTAAAAGATAATGAAGGAAACCAAAGACTAACAGAATAAACTCAAAGAACTAGATGGTGCATGGCTACCACTTCCAACCATTATGACCAGTGACATAACTGAAGACCCTGGTTAGAATGGGAGAAAAATGTAGAACAAAACCCAAATGCTTTTTTTTTTTTTTTTCTAAAAAAGGACTTACTGAATAGAATAGACTGAAAGAACTCCCGAGGTTCTTGTTCTAAGAATCCCTCACTTAACCTAAAACTGAAACCATTCCCAGAGATCACCTACCTGTAAGCGAAACAACAGACAAGATTATAAAATAAACAATTATGTTCAAAGGCTTTTGTTTAACACGTTTCATAATTTAAATAAACAGCATCCAATCTGAGTAACTGGAAAAAGAGATATGTCAAACAAATATAATGCACAGACCTTGTTTGACTACTGATTTAACAAACTTAAAAATATAAGATAACAAGGAAAACCTGAACGGAATGAATATTAATTGAATTTTTTAGATGTAACATTGGTATTTGTGATTGTTTTTGAAGTCTTTATTTTTAGAGTTATAGTTTAAGTATTGTTATTGTTGTGAAGTGCCGGCCAGTCATTCTGACTCATATTGATCCTTTATAGGGTTTCCAAGGAGCTGCTAGTAGGTTTGAACTGTTAACGTTGTGGTTAACTGACAACCGTGTGAGACAAATGAACTTTGTATTCCAGGGCTTATCCTACAGCACCATACCAGGACTCATATCTCTTTATGGCTGTATAATATTTCATTGTATTTTTGTACCACATTTTGCTTATCCATTCATCAGCTGATGGACATTTGGGTGGTTTCTACCATTCAGCTATTATAGCATTATTATCTTTAAAAATAAATAAATAAATAACCCAACAATTCTAATACAGAAATTTTCAACTGTGAAAAAGGAGAGACAAAATGGGATAATATCACCACCCAAAACTAGCATCTCAAGTTTGACCTATATATTTCTCCTTCCCCTCAATGATTATTTTTAAAATCCCAATTAACATACATTTTGATTTACTATTACTTAAACTGATGTCCTGGTGTGGTACTGTAATATAAGCACTGGACGACAATATCAGTTTGAACCACAAGGTCTCCGGTTCATACTCACCAGCCACTCCTCAGAAACCCTATATATGTTCACTATGAGTCAAAAATGACGTGACAGCACTTAACTAATGAAGACAAATAAAGTCCTAATACATGCTACAATATGGATGGACCTTGAAACATTATGTTGAATGAAATAAGTCTGTTACAAGAGAGCAAATATTTTATGACCCCAGTTATATAAAATATCTAGAACACAATATATGGAGATCTAAATTTACTAGTAGTTACCAGGAATCGGGAATGAAAGCTAATTAGTGGTTACCAGGAATAAGAGACTAGGGGAAAGGGAAAGTCATTGCTTAAACGTCACGGAGGTTCTGTTAAAGATGATGGAAAATTTGGAAATGGGTAGTGGTGATGTTATACATGTAAAGAATGCTGAAACAGCAAATGTTTTTCCACTTAAAAATAAAGTATATATAAACTTCATATTAAAGATAAGACATTTAGATTTTATTCATTCATATTAGACTTACAGATGGGAAATAGTATGCTAGTACCCCCTATAAGAAATGCCAGACATTCTAGAGTTCATAAAATTTTATAACTGGTCAGACATTTACAAAAATAAAACAACACTTACCACTAAGTCCCAATTATTTTGTTCAAGCAATGTAATAGCTTCATCAATATTTTCAATGCCCGTGCATGCCTGGTAACAAAGTAAATAAGAATCTCAGGTTCCATTTTTTGAGTGCAGATTATAATTAGTCTTTAACAGGTAACCAACATACATTAAGTTTAAACAGGTATATGAATAAAGTCCAGACATCAAACTCCTAATATTTTCTGACATTTTCCACACACAGTTTGAAAAAGGTCAATTACAAAGTAAACCTATATTACACTGAAATAAAAGGCTATAAAAGAAAATATGCTTAAATATTGAGCTTTTTAATCCCATGGTGATATCTAGATAATCTTCTTCTTGCCTAGAATAACTTTCATTTAAATAGATCTTTATGAAAAACTGTTTTTCAAAAAAATGAACTTCAGCCCACACCTTATGTAAAATTAATTCATAACTCAAAATGAGTAATAGGCCTAAATATAAAACCTAAAACGATGCTATCTCTGAGCTGCACTGTGTTGGTAGTGAGAAGCCAGTGTGACTAGTGAGTCCCTGAAATGTGGCTCATGTTGAGTGAGGATGCACAGTCAGTCATCCAAGGACTGTTGGTTCCAGAGCCCCTCTCTCTAGCAGACACCAAAACCTGTGGATGCTCACGTCCTTTATTTAAAAATGGCACATAATTTGCATATAACTTACACACATCTTCCTGGATACTTTAAAACATCTCTAAATTGGTTTTAAAATGTAATAAATACAATGTAAATATTATGTAAATATCATTTTATGTTCTGTCTTAATCTTTGAGAGATTGTTTTTACTACCTAATTTCTCATCCCCATCCACCCCCAAATACTTTCTATCCATGATTGGCTGAATTATTGGATACAGAACTAGCAGACACAAAGAAGTATTGTACTATAGGTATAAACATGTACCAAGTAAGCCTTAGTATAAAAATAAAAAATGCAGAGTATCTCATTAATCATTTCTTCACTGAATACATGTTGAAATGGCAGTCATTTGCTATTAGCTTAAATAAAACATAATAATATAAGTTAATTTCATCAGTTTATTTTACTTTTTAAATTAGATACTACACCACACCCTTTGATGCAGAGGTGATTCTGACTCAAAGCTATTCCATGTGTTTCAAACCAGAACTGCACTATATAAGGTTTTCAGTGGCTGTGAGCTTTCACAGGTAGATTGTCAGGTTTTTCTTTCACGGCACCTCTGATTGATTCAAGTCACTCATCTTTCAGTTAACCATTTGCACTATCCAGGAACACTAAAAAATTTACAATTACATATGTGGCTTTCATTATGTTTCTAATGCTGTTCTAGAAAGAAATATAGGAGGAAATCTTTGTGACCTAATAAGGCAGCTGCTAAGATACAACAGCAAACACACAATCCAAAGAAACTGGTAAAATGAACTTAATCAAAATTAAGAACAACTGTTCTTCAAAATGGAGCCCAGGTGCTATAGTGGATTAAACATCAGACTGCCAACCACAAGGTCAGCAGTTCAAATCTGTAGGAGAAAGGTGAGACTTTCTGCTCCTGTAAAGATTTACTGCCTCAGAAACCCTGTGGAGCAGTTCTACTCCCCCTATTCAGTCATTATGAGTTGGAATCGACTCTATGGTAGTGGTGGTGGTGATGGTGGTGGTAGTGTGCAGTGGAGTTGGTTCCAACTCATAGTGACACTGTATAGGGTTTCCAAGGCTGTAAATCTTTACAGGAGCAATAAAAGCCTCATCTTTCTCCTGCAGAACAGCTGGTAGTTTCGAACTGCTGACCTTGAGGTTAGCAGCCCAACTCATAACCACTATGGTAGTGGGTTGGTGTTTTTCAAAAGATACTATTTTTTTTTAAAAATTAAAAGGCAAGCCATAGACTTGGAGAAAATATCTACAAAACTTATCTAACAGAGAGCTTTAAACAGAACATATTTCTAAAGGCACAACTTTAAAAATTAAAAATAGCAAAAGATTTTTAAAACTATGCTATTAAGAAACATTCTAGCTGTACTTCTTTCCAAGACAGATTTTTTGTTCACTCTTCTGGCAGTCCATACAATATTCAATATTCTTCACCAACGCCATCAATCAAACGTATTCTAGTCTTCATTTGTGCTTGTTTGCTCTTGTCAAGTGCCACCGAGTCAGCTCCAACTCATAGCAACCCTACAGAACGGAGTGGAATTGCTCCTGGGTTTCTGAGATTATAAATGTTTACAAGAACAGAGAGTCTACTCTTTCTCCCTCAGCAGCTGATGGTTTCAAACTGCTGGTTGCTGTTAGTAGGCCAATATATATCACTCAGCACCACCAGGGTTCACTTCTGACTCAGAGACCCAGTACAGGGTTTCCAAGGAGCAACTGAGCAGTTTGAGCCTCCAACCTTACGGTTAGCAGTCAAGTGCTTATCCTATAGTGCCATGCCACGAATCCTGTTGTTATTGTTAAGTGCCCTCAAGTCGGTTCCTACTCATAGCGACCCTGTATGGACTTTTCAAGGAGAGGCGGGTGAATTTGAATCACCAGCCTTGCAGTTCAAACCAACCGTGCAGTTGAGTGCTTATCCTACAGCGCCACAGCACAGCACCACGAGGGCTCTTGTAGAATAGTTAACCTCCAAAGTACTGACAATACCAAGGGGTACAATGGCTACAAAAACACTTAAAATTTCATATATTGCTCGGGGGATGGAGATTACAAAATGATAAAGGCACAGTGGTAAATAATTTAGCATTTTCTAATACAGTCATGGTCCAACAATCCTACTCCTAAGTATTTCTATAAGAGATACAAATATTATGTTCACAAGTAAACCTACATATGAATGTTTATAGCAGCTTTTTTCATAACTACTAAAAACAAGAAATACTTCAAATTTCCTTCCATTGATGAAAGAATACAGTGACACATCCATACAATAACAAAACTTAGCAACAAAATGGACAAACAATTGATGACGTGCAATTACATGATTGAATCTCAAATACAATGTTACATGAAAGAAGCTAAACTCAAGACACTTTACACTGTATGATTACATTTATATGGTATTTAGAAAAAGAGGCAAACTAATAGGATTAGAAAAAAAGATCTATTACTGCCAAGGGTTATGAATACAACAGGAGTTAAGTGAAAAGAGTCAGCAAGAGGGAAATTCTGATTCATCAAAAACAATTAATTTTACTGTATGTAAATATTCCTAATTACCACAGTCTGTCAGTCTGTAGTAGCTTGTGTGTTGCTGTGATGCTAGAGGCTAGGCCACTGATATTTTAAATATCAGTAGGGTCACCCAGGGTAGACAGGTTTCAGCAGAGTTTCCGGACTACGAAGAAGGAGAGGCACCCTACTTTTGAATGGTGAGCCACTGAAAATCTAATGAATAGCATCTGAGCATTGTCAAATATAATACTGTAAGATGAGACCCACAGGTTGGAAGACACTCAAAATAGGAATGTGGAAAGACTGACTTCTCAAAGTAGAGTTGGCCATGACATGAATGGGAGCAAAGCATCTGAGACTTCATTAGCTGATGTGGCACAACACAAAATGAGGAGAAAGCACTACAAATATCTTTTAATAATGAAAAGATTAAATGTCCGAAATATGAATCTAAGAAAATTTTTTGTTGTTGTTGTTAAGTGCCTTCGAGTCGGTTCCGACCCATAGCGACCCTGTACAGGGTTTCCGAGGGTGTAAATCCTTACGGGAGTAGAAAGCCTCATCTTTCTCCAGCGGAGCAGCTGGTAGTTTCGAACTGCTGACCTTATGGTTCGCAGCCCGATTCGTAACCACTACGCTACCAGAGCTCCTTCTAAGAAAATTAGAAGTTGTCAAAAATTAAATAGAAAGCATAAAGACCAATATCCTATGCATTAGTGAGCTGGAATGGACTAGTATTGGCCATTCTCAATCAGACAATCATATGGTTTACTATGCCAATAACAACAAATTGAAGAGGAATGGCAGCCCATTAATCATCAAAAAGAATATTTCAAGATGTATCTTGAAGTACAACACTGTCTGTGACAAGATAATATCCACTACAAGGAAGATCAATTAATACCAGTACTATAAAAACTTGCACACCAACCACTAAATCCACTGATGAAAAAAATGATGAATTTATCACCTTCTTGAATCTGAAATTGATCAAACATGCAGTCAAGATGACTAAAATATAAAAGTTGGAAAATAAAGAGGAAGGCTCAGCAGTGGGAAAATATGGCCTTAGTAATAGAAAGATGCTGGAAATGCATGACAGAATTTTGCAAGACCAACAATGTATTCATTGTATTTTTTCAACAACATAAAAAGTGAATAAAAACATGGACCTCACCAGACGGAATACACAGGAATCAAAATGACTATACTACATCTGTGGGAAGGAAGAGATGGTGGAGAAGCTCAGTATCATCAGCCAAAAATAAGAAAAGGAGTACACTGCAGAAAAGACCATCAATTGCTCATATGAAAGTTAAGGCTGAAGCTAAAGAAAATTAAAACAAGTCCACAGGAGCCAAAATATGACCTTGAATATATTCCACTTGAATTTGCAGACCATCTCAACAATAGATGGAATGCATTAGACACTAATGACTTAAGTTCAGAAGAGTTGTAGGATGACATCAAGAACATTATATAGAAAGAAAACAAAAGAAAAGAAAGAAAGACCAAAATGGATATCAGAAGAGACTCTGAACTTGTGCTCCAGCATAGAAAGCTAAAGTGAATGGAAGAAATGAGGAAGCAAAAGAGCTGAACAGAAAATGTCAAAGGGCAGCTTGAGAAGACAAAGTATCATAAAGAAATATGCAAAAGCCTGCAGTTAGAAAACTAAAAGCGAAGGAAATGCTCAGCATTTCTCAAACTAAACAAACTCAACAAAATATTCAATCCTCAACTTGCAATACTGAATGATTCTATGGGGAAAATGGTGTGGCGCTGTGGGTTAAATGTGCCAGACTGCAAAGCCGTTTGAACTGCAAGGTTGGAGGTTCAAGCTCACCAGCTGCTCCTTGGAAACCCTATATAGGGTCGCTATGAGTCGGAACC